GTGTCTCGTGAAAAATACCAAGTAATCGAACCTGCAGTCTTGTGTCTCGTGAAAAATACCAAGTAATCGAACCTGCAGTCTTGTGCCCCGTGTAAAAAGTACTAAGTAATCAACCGCAGACGTCTCCGGGCGCCCCGCTCGACAACTTCTCAACGAACGAACGGGCGGGACTTCTCATAACGTGAATCACGCGCACAGCAATTCTATCCGCCCGTGACCTGTCCATCAGCAGCGTCTGCCATATAGCATATAGCATAATAGCAGTGTCTGCGCTCGATATCCCGCGAGCGAGCGAACAAGCGCTATAATGTGACGCACGCGGATATATTACGGCATGCATGCATGCAGGCAGCCACAGCCACCCTGCGTTTGTCGACCCCGAATCAGCATGGTGGGGGAATGGGAGAGGCTGGTTATTAAGACGGAGAAGGGGATGAATGCAATTCGACATTATCGTGTTACGCATAGGAGGCGATCATGCCATTCATAGCTGAGCGGGTCTTCTAACGTCGCCTGCCTTCGTCTCCCTATAGCAGGCATGTCGCGGCCACCAGCTTCCTTTTATGGCCTCGCTAATTGCATGCGTATATGATTAATTTTGTCCGCGATGCCTCGCTGTTACGCAATGGCGTAGACGAACGAGGGACGCGTTTATGAGAGCGAGATAGGCTGTCGTGGAAGCGATGCAGGAGAGTGGAAACGAGGCGAGCAAGCGGTGTACGTCCCGTCCTAAACCGCATATCCGGATTTTCGATCCGATATTCGTCGCAAAAAAACTATTCAGGTAGTAGGACGATTTTCGATCGCAGGTTCCGGATAGCTGGGCCGGGAGATTTTTTTGACGGAGAAGATGGTTCGAAAAAATCAGGACACGTCCAGTGAAAAAACAGCAAAAGTAAACATGGCTGAGGTCTGTAGTGCTCTGTACGCGTGCATGTCGCTACTCTATCGATACCGATCGCTACCACAGTAAAGTGACCCACACCAGAGACTGACACGGTCACAAGTGGTTCGTTATATGTATGCATATATATATATATATATATAT